ACAGTATTTTGCATCAGCTCAAAAGAGGGAAGAAGCACGGAACACTTTCACGTTAACTCTGGGACCCGAGGGCGGACCGACCTGCATATCAAAGGCTTGGAAACAGTGGACGACGAATGCAGCGCATCAACGTGACCGTGAACGACGACGTCCAAACTTATCATAAGGTCATAAGATGACGTACGGTCGTGGCTGACAACAACGAGAGTACCAAAAGAAGTATAAATTGAGCAAGTTTGATCATGTAGCGACATGCGTATCATGCGCGGTAATGGTGCATGCAGTACCGGTGCAATTTCTTGGGAGCGGATAGGGCACGGTGCGCTGTGCAGGGGAAAGGGCGCAGTGCTCAGCGCAGTTTTCGATGCAGTACTCGGGGCACAATACACGGTACAGTGTCCATAGCACACGGCGCACAGCACCCGGCACATGGCACAGCGTGCAGTGCCCCTGGGTCACCTGGATGCGGGCGACGGTCTCCCTGCCCTCGGTGATGGCGCGGCACGCCACCTCCAGGATGTTGGCAGCAACCCGCAGCTGCACCAGCAGCAGCGATAGTGCGCTGTATGTCTGCCAGTGTTAGGTCAGGAGTTGGGTTACTAAAAGGTGTTAGGTAAGGTGATTGGTCACCAGCAGGCGTTGGGGCCGATGTTGGGTCACCAGCAGGTGTTAGGTAAGGTGATTGGTCACCAGCAGGCGTTGGGGCGAATGTTGGGTCACCACACCAGCAGGCGTTGAGGCATGTGTTGGGTTACCAGTGGGTGCTAAGTCAGGAGTTTGGTCACCAATAGGTTTTAGAAAGCTTCACTATGAATTTGATGTTTGACTTCGCCTCGATTTCACTAGATGCCATGTTGCATGAACGGTTGTTGCTTTTAAAGCAGCGCACCGCGTTTGAAACATTTATTTAAAAGTTAATGCGAGAACCCGTTGTAATACAGTAATACAGGATTGTTCTGGTGCATCATACTATTTTCATATAATTTTATGTTGTGTCTATTTTCCATAAACTTTTTGGAGCCCCCACGTCAAGCGCTAGTGCTGACGTAGGACGCCCTACACTGCGTCAGTGTAGTCAGTAAACCAGAGAGCCCCAGAAAGGTATGGTGCAGTACACTGCGTCAGTGTACCTAATCAGTATACCAGCGAGCCAGGAAGGTATGGTGCAGTACACTGCGTCAGTGTACCTAATCAGTATACCAGTATACCAGAGAGCCCCGGAAAGATATGGTGCAGTACACTGCGTCAGTGTACCTAGTCAGTATACCAGAGAGCCCCGGAAAGGTATGGTACAGTACACTGCGTCAGTGTACATAGACAGTATACCAGTATACCAGCGAGCCCAGGAAGTTATGATACAATACACTGCGTCAGTGTAGTCGGGTTTACCTGTATCCTGGACCTTGAAATGTCCCAATCCCGTATACTGCGTATACTGTGCGGTAGTATGAAGACGGTGTAGCCGATGCTGCGCAGCATCGACCACACTGAGAAGGCCTAAAACAACCACACTACACTGACACAAATGTATCCTGATAGGATGCACACTGACGTACACTGAGACACACAACTTGGTTGTGGGATACGCTGAGACATACGTTCTTCAGTATCACAAGTTCATCATTCATCAGTATCACAAGTTCATCATTCATCAGCATCACAAGTTCATCATTCATCAGTATCACAAGTTCATCATTCATCANGTATAAGAGACAGGATTTACACTCATTGCTTGCATGATTAATAACATCATTAAAATTTACACTAATTGCTTGCATGATTAATAACATAACTGAGATTTACACTCATTGCTTGCATGATTAATAACACCAATAAAATTTACACTAATTGCTTGCATGATTAATAACATGACGATTATTTTACATTCATTGCTTGCATGATTAATAACATCATTGAGATTCATACTCGTTGCTTGCATGATTAAAAACATCACTGAGATTTACACTCATTGCTTGCATGATTAGTTAAAGTGCAGCAATAGCAATTACATCCAATCGCTGATTAATTCAAGTATTAGATCGACGGCAGAAAGGAAAAAGCGATTTTCAAATAGCTTAAGACTGAGCCAAGCACTGCGTTTAAATTTGCCAATGATAGACCTCCAATAGGGAAAGCAATTGTTGTCACGAGAAAACTCATTGGCAGAAGTAATTGGTTGCCATTAAAAACCATTAAATAAGCGCGCAACAACGCAGCTTTAATTAAAGAGTACGATTTACTGGTTAGAAGAGAACGTTCAATCATAGTTTAGCTCGATATCGAGCGGCCAATCATTAGTTTAGACGAGAGCGCAGCTAACAAATTCACAATCACTGGTTTAGATTCAACGAAAGACAGCGCCGTTATCGAAGAAGCTGTAAATTGGCCAACCCAATCGACCCTATTTAACCCTATTGATGACCCCAAAACTTAGATTTGCCGAAACATTTTCTTAACTCATATCAAGCTTCGTCATTCTCTGAACACATTGATTAAATCGCAATTTTGTGAACCCGTTTCTTGATACGTTATTTTCTGAACCTATTTCTTTGTTGGTCATAAGTGAGTCACAAAGAGATTTTTTCGCCATAAATTTAACTTTTGACGGTAAAAACTTTGAATATATGAATAGCATCTAAGAGAAAATTCCCTAAAAATCAGGGTTGGCAATGATTAAATCAAAATGATTAAATCATGTGATTAAATCACTTGATTTTTTTAATAAAAAAATCATGATTTTTTTTATTTTTTCATATATTTAAAAATTTTGAGTGGCAGTCTTTAATTTATATTGAGGTATTGTTATTCATGGTTTAGTATAAATGTACTATGAATGACAAATTGGTATATAAACTTGTTGCCTTTAGTGTGTATTAGGTTCCAATAAATGGAATGCTTTTGGTACAGAGGCATCAAGAGTGCAATACGGTACATTGTACATAGCTAGTAGCTTAGCTAATTCTTATAAGGCTATAAGTAGTCTAACTATTTGACTATTTGTTATATATTGATTACAATATACAATTTAAATGTGTTAGCTAGCTTATTAACAGGGTGGGGCAGAACTGATTGAACAGTTTTGAGGCGAAATAAAAGAGTAATGGAGGTACATAAAGAAGAAAGTTTATTTTCCTCATGATTAGCATAACATACCATTTAAAATACTTATGTTTTGAAAACAATAGCAGGAAGATGGGGTTTGTTAGCTGCATCACACTGTTGGAGTCGTTCTCGGAAGTTTTCTACAGCACGTTCACACATATGGCGAGGTATGGCCATAACCTCTGCTGCAATAATCCGTTCCTTTAGCTGTGGCAGGGTGTGAGGGCGACTTCTGAATACCCTTTCTTTTAGATGTCCACAAAGAAAGAAATCGCAAATGCTCAAATCAGGTGACCTCGCAGGCCACTGTAAATCACCCCTCAGAGACACCAGACCTACGGGAAACATGTGTTTCTAAACATTGAGTGACATTCGAGCTGTGTGAGCTGTAGCACCATCCTGCTGGAACCACACGTCTCTCAATGCTTCATTTTCAACAATGTTTTCCATCATGGGCTGAAAGAAATTTTGCAACATTGCAGCATAGCAATCGAAATTCACTGTTAAGGTTACTCCCTCCTCTGAGAACGACTCCAACAGTGTGTTGCAGCTAACAGCCCCCATCTTCCAGATATTGTTTTCAAAACATAAGTATTCTAAATGGTATGTTATGCTAACCTCTAGGAGAATAAACTTTCTTCTTTATGTACCTCCATTACTCTTTTATTTTACCTCAAAACTGCTCAATCGGTTCTGCTCCACCCTGTATACTGAGAGGTTGAGATTGTATTGACCTTTTAGGCAATTAAAAAGATTTTCAACCCTAATACAAGTATTTTAATTAAAATATTTAATTTAAATCTTTAAATATGTGAATTTAAAACTAGAAACAAAACAATTACAATTATAAGACTATATATAAAATAATTAAATGCAGTGAATGGATATAAAATATTTGAATTGTGCACATGTTTATTTCAAACAGTGTTAGCTTTTCTCATAACTTAAGTCTCGTTTCAAGTTGTATGAGGTTTGTTTGGTTATCGTTCAGTTTATATTTACTATTGGTTTATTGGTCTGAATTAAGTGGGAACAGTGCAGTCAGTCACTCAGTCACTACTAGTTGGTGTGTATAGAAGGTAGAGTCTGGTAGATTTATAGGACATAAAACTAGTACCGGTAGATCTATTGATAGTGCTGTGCACTGTGCAATCAGCTACCTATCTGTTATGTGACTCTTCAATGTTTAGAAGATCTGCATTCCTGAAGTGTTTTTGTATATTGAAGCCAGTCAAATGGTCAATATTTAGCTCATTACCTTGCTCCATACAAACTTTACAAAGCTAATGAATAGACTTATCAATAATTGTTTACCAGAAAATCCCTAAGTGGTAAACACCACATTGGCCTGTTGGCCATTATTGGAGGCAATAAGTGCCCTTTTTAGCCATCCATTATGATCCATATACTGTTATTGTTAGTAGGCTAATTGCAACATTAAAAATAACACCTCAAAAAAGACAAAAAAGCTGAAAAAATAAAAAAAATCAAATAATTAAAAAAAAGTCATGAAAAAATAAAAAATCATTGATTTTTTATTTTTTTGATTTTTTTAAAAAAATCAAAAAAATCGCCAACCCTGCTAAAAATGTCGAATTGCATGAAAGGGCAAAAATGAGTCGAAGGGACAAAATTGGATCAAAAGGACAAGTGAATCGTAAGAAAGAATTGAGCCAAATGGATAAACTAATTCAAAGACAAATATTGAGTTAATAAGGCCAAAGTAAATCCAAATTTCGAAATGAATCGAGTATTTTTTATACAAGAAAAATATAAAAATGAGATCAATGGGGAGGTAACTGAGTTCATTGGGGTGGTCGTGAGGGTTAAATAGGGTCGTGAGGGTTAAATAGGGTCCTGAGGATCATATGGGGTCATAATGAGCCCCAGAGGGTTACCTGCAGCCGCCCTAAGGACACCTGCCCCTCCCTCAGATGATGGACGCAGAACGTGACGCAGTCCAGCCCGAAGTGGACCAGCCCTATGAGCCCCATCACGGACGTGGCCTGGGGCGTGTACAGCTATCATTGCGTGGCTACACGCACAGTGCATGAACAGCTCTTATTGCGTGACTACACGCACAGTGCGTGTACAGCTCTTATTGCGTGGCTACACGCACAGTGCGTGTACAGCTCTTATTGCGTGGCTACACGCACAGTGCGTGTAGATGTATAGCTCTTATTGCGTGCATTACTGCGTGCGTACTACACATGCAGTCCTCGGAATCACACGCATTACGCGAGTCCGAACGCACGCTAATTTCGCAATTTTACGCGCCGATTTTGCGAATGTGCGCGATAATTTTGCGCGTGTAAAAAGAATTACCCAATCTCTGATCGTCTGCCTCTGTACCCTACCAGCGGCGGGAAGCAAGCATCGTGCATCAGTTGGCCTAACTGAGGGCATCAGCTGGCCTAACTGAGGGCATCAGCTGGCCTAACTGAGGGCATCAGTTGGCCTAACTGAGGGCATCAGTTGGCCTAACTGAGGGCATCAAGAGGCCTAACTGAGGGCATCAGCTGGCCCAACTGAGGGCATCAAGTTGCCCAGCTGAGGGTATCAAGTTGCCCAACTGAGGGCATCAGCTGGCCTAACTGAGGGCATCAGCTGGCCTAACTGAGGGCATCAAGTGGCCCAACTGAGGGCATCAGCTGGCTTAACTGAGGGCATCAGCTGGCCCAACTGAGGGCATCAAGTGGCCCAACTGAGGGCATCAGCTGGCCTAACTGAGGGCATCAAGTGGCCCAACTGAGGGCATCAGCTGGCCTAACTGAGGGCATCAAGTGGCCCAACTGAGGGCATCAGCTGGCCCAACTAAGGGCATCATGTTGCCCAACTAAGGGCATCAAGTGACCTGAGGGCATCAAGTGTCTTAACTGAGGGCATCAAGTGGTCCATTTGAAGGCAGTAATAACACTGTAACAACAATAGCCGGATAAATGACTGAGAAGGCGGGAAACGTCGCGCAATATTGTCGAGATGGCCGCTTCCAGCATCACCCACATCACTCATACCCCACATCACCCACATCCCTCATACCCCCACATCCCGCACATGATGCCGTCCCCCCACATCACCTGGGCGGGGGTGAGGTTGTTGCCAGCAGCGATGTGGGCGACGAAGGTGACGATGGCGGCGATGACGGGGACGGTGGGCGCCATCGCCAGGCCCAGGCTCTGCAGGTACGCGCAGCGCTCCAGCAGCGCCCGCTCCTGCCGCTGGGGTTATGGGGTTACAGCAGCGCCAGTTCCCGGCACCGAGGCCCAAATATGCCAAGAGAGCATTTCGGCTCATGCACGCCCAGGTCGAGGGCCCAAATGTGCCCACGGCCTCAAAATATGCCCACGAGGCCCATGTATCCCAAGTGGGGCCATATGTACCCAGAGGGCTTACAAGTGTCAATAAGGCCACAAAGGACCAAAGGGTGCCAATTGACGAATGGCCCATACTTGTCATTACGGCCACAAATGGCCAGAGGGCCCAGTTCCCCCACAGGGCCTTAATTAACTCGGATGACCCCAATTCACCCACAGGACCCCAGTTCACCCACAGGATCCCAATTCACCCACAGGACCCCAATTCACCCACAGGGCCCCAATTCACCCACAGGACTCCATTTCACCCACAGGACCCCAATTCACCCACAGGACCCAGTTCACCCACAGGACCTCTATTCACCCACAGGACCCCTATTCACCCACAGGACCCCAATTCACCAACAGGACCCCAATTCACCCACAGGACCCCAGTTCACCCACAGGACCCCAGTTCACCCACAGGACCCCAATTCACCCACACGACCACAATTCACCCACAGTACCCCCATTCACCCACAAGACTCCAATTCACCCACAGGGCCCAAATTCACCCACAGGGCCCCAGTTCACCCACCGGTGATGGCGGTGGCGAAGCAGGTCTCCCAGGCGTAGAGCTTGATGAGTCTGATGGAGGTGAGCAGTTCACCCACCCGCCTCACCCGCTCGTCCGTCACACCCATCGTGCGGCGCCGCAACCCACCCGTCACCCGCGAGATGACGTACTGTGTCACGGGGGAGTTGTGTCACGGGGGAGTTGTGTTACGGGGGAGTTGGGGGAGTAAAATTAGTTATTTTATGATAAATTTCCATTGACGGAGGAAACCGTCACCCACCACAGCAAGAATGCATCACCTGCAGAACGAGGGCCCCACTAGTCCCCACCTGCAGCAGCAGGGCCCCACTAGTCCCCACCTGCAGCAGGAGGGCCCCACTAGTCCCCACCTGCAGCAGGAGGGCCCCACTAGTCCCCACCTGCAGCAGGAGGGCCCCACTA